GGTTTCTCCTAAGGTCTGCATCCCTCCAGGAAAAATGCTGCCCTCAAGAATTTGGGGCTGGGCTGGCCTGGGAGTAGGGACCAGGATGCTGGTCTCAGGAAGCTTGTAGCTGTGCTACCCAGGAATGCAAAGTGAGGTGCGGTGGAGGAGGTCCAGAGGGCTCCAGGGACTGCAGGGAGGAACAGGGTTTGTCTGAATGCAAAGGATCAGGAAAAATTGGGACTCTGGACCGAAAGGTCAGCCCAGTGTCTGGGATGCTGTATTAGTCAGGGTTCTCCAAAGAAACAGAACCGGTAGAAGGAATATATAAGTATAGAGATTTATCAGCTTAGCTCAGAGGATAGAGTCCAAGTAATCCAACAATGGCTGCACCACACTGGGGAGGCTGAGAATCCATCGTAGTCACTCAGTTCATGAGGCTGGATGTCTCAGTAGTCCCAATCTGGAGCTCAATGTCTGACGAATTCCAAAAGATCAGCTAGTCTTCAGTTTACAGCAGCAAGACAAGACGAACTCACCAGAGAGAGAGAAGGCAAGCAGCAAGAAGCCAAGTGTTCTCCTCTGCCTTGGCCTTTTATATGGACTGCCATCAGAAGGTAACACCCACATTTAGGGTGTGTCTTCCAGGTTCAGATGATCCAGTTAAGAAGATCTCTCTCATTTAAGTTAATTCCAGATCCAGTCAAGTTGACACCCAGGATTAGCTATCACCAGTCCACCCCTTGTCAACTTGACACCCAATAGTATCTCTCTATGTCATGCTTAATTTTTAAATGAAAACAATGTTGAGGTCATAATTTCACCTAACATGATATGACTGTCCCATCATACAATGACCAATGCATTGTATGTCTTAGAGTAGGTGATAAGGTCTTCGAGGAATGCTTAGTCCTTTAGTATCTCATAACCCAATATAATCATATAGGTTCACAACACTTAACCACTTAACACTTATCTCAATTACACATTCTAAAAAAGAAGAACACAGTATGTGCTTAACATATGTGTATACATGCACAAGCCTATTCTTAACCAAATAGGACAAAAATACT